AACGGAATACAGTTACTCATATTTTGTATTTTAAATACGTAACGGCGGTACATGTATTCCGTTACTCCCCAACACTGTTCACACCTCACTCCTCCATATTCCCCGGTTCCTAGTTGCAGCAACGGCAGCAAACCTGCGCCAAAGCCCTGTCGCATCAGCTGCAGTTAGGGAAGCGAGCGGGAAGCTGGCTATCACAAAAAAAGGGAGCAATGTTTTGCAGCAATAAGGTTGTGAAGGTCTTGAGACAACTTATTGGTTTTACACATCGTGAAATGTTTCTTGTGTGACACCTTGGTAAAACACCTTTTTATAGGCCATCAGTTGGGACGGGACCATTTAAAGTGACAATAGTTGTGTTGTTTTCATGCTGTTAAGCCCATCTTGTATTGCAACAGCTGACCCCTGGTGGCCACTTTATGACTTGGACTGAATTACACTGATTTTGGGGGATTTTAGGGAAACGTGAAAACACAAGCGGAGAAGAAAGAGGTGTGTTTCAACAAAGTAACTTTTTATCTGTTTTATCTTGTTTCCAGAATGATTAAAAGTAAGAATTGAAATAAAATTGGTTTCAGAAGAATAATTAGGAAAAAGAGAGCTCTGAATTCAATCTTCCATATCTGATTGCTGTGAGATGTGAGGCTGAGACCAGTGAGGAGTGAAGCTTTCCCAGGATCAGACTCTGGGATGCTTTAGAGACATTTAAGCAATAACAGCTGGACCAAAGTGAAAACCGACTGGACTCTGACCAAAAGCTTTTTGTCCAGTGAGACGGAGGTGCTGGATTACCTCTGCACCACTGCTGTTCAAAGAGTATGTTTCGTTTGTGCAAGCAAAACACATGTAATACATCACCTGACATTTATTCAGTAGTTTGTGCATCAGAACGTATCTGCAAGCATGTTCTCCTTGTCTGCAATGGTGGGTCTGGCCCACCTCTGGATCTGTACTCTCACTAATCCATCTGAAAACACTGAGATCATTTTAAAACATCTGTTGCTCATGTAGCTTTCCTTTTGTAGCACTTGGTTGAATATAAGGTCTTAATTCATCTTCACATATTCTCCATGTTTCATAGCAGAACACACAAACTCTGCTGGCAGACAGGCTTAAATAATAAAGATCTTTATTTAACACCATTTAAGAACTTGGTAAATACTGCATCAACACTCAACGGAAAGTGAACTTCTACTACGTCACAATAAATAAACTTTAACAACAGATTATTTGTTATGATGTTATGAACTACGACATGCTGTCATAGCGACATGACAAAAAACTGCCACTGCCGGACAAACTTACAGAGCAATTAAAAAAAACATGACAGAATACTAAAAACTTTAGAACAACAGGTCAAAAGACAGTAATCAGTCATTTCTATCCCAGAAGTTTATTTTAATTTTAATGGAAGCATGTTTCTTCTGTTTATGTTCCTAACATATAGTATTTGGATAAACGTACAGCTACACGTTACACGTACAGGAGCTGCTCAGCCATGAAGCTCCCAGCACACAGTGTTTGTGCTGATGTTACAGGACCATGTTCATATTTGTAAAGGCAGACTGCACATCTGGGTGTATGATGTTTTAACCTTATGATAATGGGACTGAAAACACCTGAACTGAATACTGTTGTCCATATAATGTATATCAGAACTTTACAGCATATAGAATAAAATACCTGAGCTCACTGATAGTGTTAATGTCACTGTCCTTCTACTTAAAGACCCTCAGGCACAGGCTCGACACTTGACACACGCCGCTTCTCAGCTGAAGCTCATAAAATTGAACAGTTTTCCAGACGTTAGATGGTGTCTGCTAGGAAAGTTTAAGCGTGCTCCAATTGTGAAGTTCTAGGTCCATATTAATGTGTCTTCTTTGTTTGTTCGTGTTGCAGTAACGATTTCATTTAATTGTTCCAGGGAAGCAAAAAATCTTATATAAAAGTTTTTAAAGGCTTTCAGATGAAATTCTGAACATTTAGTCAGCACGAAATTGATACGACTGAACAGATAAATATTGGCCACTAACGTCAACACAAACGTCACATCTTATTTGTTGACGTCAGCCAACAGGGCTAATAGCAGCCTATATTAAAACCTTGTGACCTCAGCGACTCTTCCTCCTTTTAGTGTCTCTGCCCTGAGAGAGTTTCATCAGCGGTGACTCGGGCCTGGGTGACCGTCCCTCTCCTTTGGGTTTGAAAAAGAAGGATTCGTTGAGTTTCATCTGGACCGCTCTGACCTGAGGACCAAAAAAAGTCACAGTGTTACTGAACAGTGGAAGTAACTTCAGTTACTCCTTTTCAGATCATTCTACAAAGTTCTCCTGATAAATATTTCTTACTGCTCAGCAAAAACAGAAATTTCTAAGTGTTTATAATGTCAAAATAGGCTGAGGGGTAGCACTGCTGGTCACCAGTATTTTTAAGGGTGATAAGAGAAATGTGACAGATTGAGAGATGTTTAAAAAAGTGAATGAATCTTCATGCATTGTCCGGGATTGTAACATCTAGTCCTTACTGAATTAATACTTTTTATCGGCCCTGCCAACAACTCGGACATCTACGTGACACAAATTTTTGCAACTTGTCAAAAGAGTCATACTCAGGGTAGCCGTTCAGTGGACTCGAACCCCCGACCATGGGGCCACCACGCTACCTACTGAGCAATCCCTGCTCCTAAAGCTTTGAACAACACAACGGTCGCTACTAGGGCTGGGTATCGTCACTGATTTCTAGAATCGATTCGATCCACGATTCGATTCAATTTTAATCGGGGAAATTTTGCCTCAGTCAGAAATACTATAATTCTGATCACGTATCAGTACATTTCCATATTTTTATATCTATAAAAAGAAAGCTGACACTTGCGAGACTTTATCAAAGGTGTGAGCATCACAGCAGATGCCTTTGTGTCAAAGTAACACAGAAAAACATGAAGGTGATTTTCCTGGCCTGGGATTTTATAGCAGATGACCTTAAACATATTCTGCAGTAGATCAAAATGAAAGAAAACCATTAATCAACACATGAACATTACCTGATGCTGCTGAAGTGAAGCAGAGCAAGGTTATAGAATTGCAACACAGCTAAGCGTTTTGCAATTTTGCATAATTTTAAAAAGTTTAAATTTGTTCATAATTGAACAGCAGAAATTAGGCTTTCTTTTCAGAAGTGAGTAAAAGGGGAAAAAAACAGCGTCCGACAGCCTGTAAACAACGGTAGACTTGTGCGTAATAAGCAAGCGAGAGAGAGAGAGAGAGAGAGAGACAGCGAGCTCTGCATGAAGTGTGATTTTATTGTGGTGGAAGCAAAACAGCAAAACTGGGAGGGAATTCATGACGATGTTTATATGAAGCGTAGTTTGGATCTTCTTTTGCTGCTGGTTCAGTCAATATTGTTTGGAGAGAGATAAAAACCTACAGCTTCTGAATCTAGCGCAAAAAGGGCGTAAACACAAAGCGCGGACTCGCCGAAACATCAGAATCAGCGAGCTGTCGGCTTCCATGTCCGTGCCGTCGGGTGAGAAAGCCACATCTCCGCGCTTTGTGTTTACGTCTTTGTGCAGAATCCGTGTACCTGCTCTCATTTACTGTTTTAGCTGTTTGGTGGTTGCTGAAATTTTGTAAGGTTTAACCTGAGATTCAAAATAAATTTAGATTTAAAAATCGATTCAGGATTTTAATGAATCGATATCACGTTATCCAAGCTAGAATCGATTTTAATCGGTAAATCGATAATCAAAACCCACCTGTAGTCGCTACTAGCGTGAGAGTGTCCTTAGAGCTGGTTAACTTCCCCTGCCGCCACTCTGCTGGTGAGTGTGTGTTTATATTGAATGCTTTTAGTAAAAAATAGGATACAGGATAGGCTTTGAGTGGCATAGAATGGGAAAATAAATATCAATAATTTGTAACTGTTAAATCTGTTTTTCATATTTTATCATGGTTCTTACACCTAAACCTTCCACAAACTAATCTTTACAGTCATACTTTTATTTTTTTAAATCTCCCAGTAATCTCCTAAAAGAGCTGTACATTACATTTTTTTCACAAACAGGATAAAACAGCAGAATTCCCATCAGTGGGACACCTTACGTCAGTTTTTTCAGTATTTTTGTGAAAAAAAAAAGAGAGAACTGCAATTTTAAGAGGCTTGAAGCTGAAAAACACATAAAAAGATATCTGGTGTTAGCTCTGAATTTTGTAATATAAAGTTCAATATGTAAGATGAATTTATCATCTGTTGCTCTGTAACTACACAAATAGGATCATGTGGTATCACCTGAATCAGGTCCAGCTTGCCAGCGCGGCACGGCTGCTCGCTGTCCTCGCTGGATGTCGTTGTATCAGCGGACTTTTGATCAGATTCTGACAACTGCGGACTGGGAGTTGTTTCTCCTCGACCCAAAAGCACCTGATTTTCTTTCACAAGTGAAGACCCAGATGGACCCATGCCTCCTTCTCCTTCACGGTTGACCTCCATTACTGACAAACAGCTACCGCGGTCTTTTCTCACCCTGTGTGGAAGGCTCAGGTCTAAAGGTTTCACGTCATCGAAACAAACAGCTGGTCTACTTTTCTGGCAGAAGCTGAGGTAGGAGGAGAGCTCAGTGGTGAAGAAGTTTTCTGTCTGTGTGGAAGAGCTCACTGTGGACCTGGCAGGAAGTAATGACTTATTAATATGTGGCAGGCATGAAGGGGAACGCTCTCCAAGATCCAGGGAGGAGTCGACAATGATTGGCTCCTCCAGGAAAGGATGCCCCTCACTGAGCTTTAAACGCACTGAATGTGAGACTCTTTGCTCTCCAGATAAGTTTGTGTTTTCTTGTTTCAGAAGGGACTTTTTTCTCTGCTCATGTATCTTATGATGTCCTTTACCTTCTTCAGGTTCTTCTGGGTTTGTCTGCACAAAGAGCTGATGAGCCTGTGAGTCATGTGGCCATTTTTCTGATTCTTCATGAAATTGTTTAAGCTGTTGACACTCGCCTTGCTGTGTTCGCAACTGAGGAGATAGCATAAGGGCTCCGTCATTGACTTCCCCGCTGGAGGGTTCGGAGAGCGATGTTCTGAAAGTCTTCTGGGTAATAAACAAGTCCTGGCTGTTGATGTTATCACTGGTGCCCTGAGACTCCTGATCGCAACTCTGGCTGTTCCCCGTCGCTGCGTCCTGTGAACAGCTCTCAGCGCCTTTCACAGCCGCCTCCTCTTTGGTGGACGATGACGCAAATTTAGGCCGTTTGACACGGATGTAACGGGGTGACACATCAAACGCCACTTTTTTTTTTCTTTTGCATTTCTTTTTGGAGTCTTGAGTCAGACGATCAGGCTTCAGCTTTTCATTTTGTTGCGGCTTTGATGCTTCGGGCTTCTCAAAAGGTTTTTCCTGGGCACTACCGCACTGTTTAAACACAACACTGCTGTCTAGCTCTAAGGCCAGTCTCCTTCTTTGCCTTTCTTTCTTCTTTTCCTTTTTCTTTTGTTTCCTTTCCTTCGTTTCTTCTTTGAGCTGCGAGTTTTTCTTTTTCTTCTGGATGCTCTCTTGTGGTTTCACAGTCATGTTGGTTTTGTGTTTTTTGTGTTTTTTGAGATCTTTTTTTCTTTTTCTTTTCTGATTTTCCAAAATGAAGTCTGCCTCCTCAAAGTCAATCATGATTCTGTTTAACAGGAAAAGGAAAGTAGATTACTCTTAAATATATCACGTTTACGGTTCTTTTTTGTATAACTAATTAATTTTATTACAGCCAAGACAAACATACCATTCAATAATATTGATGTCATATCACTAAGTGTGCTATGTTTTTGTTTAGAGCCTTACCAAGAGCCTAAGGCATTACACAATCTCTCCCACACTTTACATTATATCAGAAAGAGACACGACACTCAAAGAATCCTGAATACTTTGCATTACATAATTTGATGAGAAGATTAATAGGTAACAACAGTCATTGGAAACCAAAATCAGCAATGCTTTCAGGACTGTTCTCAAAATCATACCAACAACATTAAAAATTGAAATCTGAGGCTGATCAAACTTGTGCCATAATGTGGATGAGTCATGTTTATGGACCCCATGTCCATAAGACCCTCTGGGACACTGTCGAAAGATCAGGCTCATCTCAAGAGCTAAATCAGGTCACTGATGAGCTCCTGAAACTCTGTGGTGCTTTTTGGCAGCTTTGGATGCTCGTAACATCCCAGATTCTTAATTTGATTCAAATCTGGGGAACATGAGGGCCATCAGTGAAATGAATACCTTCATTATACAAGAACTGCCTTTACCCTTTCGCCACATGAGGCTGGGAATTGTCCTGTTTTGGTCCTTTTCTAGGCCTCCAGCAGTGCTCCTTGGGCAGATACTGGTCCTGCTGCTAGTTTGATGTCATTTTATAGCCCTGACCAGCTCCTCTCACGTACCACCACTTCTCCTGCTATCTCTTGAGATTGTAGTGGGAGACACAGCAAACCTTCTTGCAACAACATGTGTGGATGTGGTATCAGGGAGGAGCGGGACTACTTGTGCAACGTGAATGGCTGCAGGCGCAGTCTCATTGTGCCAGCAGTGATAAAAACACACAAAAAACTAAACTAAAAAAATATCTCAGAAGGGATAAGAAGCAATGACGTGTGGCCACCATCTCATGTTCTACTAGTGACTAGGGATGGGTATCGTTTAGGTTTTATCCAATACCGGTACCAAACCGGTACTTTTGAAACGGTGCCGGTGCTTAAACGGTGCTCGAACCGGTGCTCGAAC